TACGTTACATCACCTGCTGGCGGCACGATCGGGTCACGGGGACTTCGAGCAATATCACCGACGTTTCAACCACGACGACGCTCTAATGATGTGCTCTTGTGGAGAGGCGAAAGACGTGGACCACCTGGTCTACTGTCGACTAACGCTGGCGAGGAGGCAACGGTGGCCGACCCTCCACTCTCGCAGTATGCCCGAGCCCATAGGCCCTATGGGATCTCTCGAGGCCTACTTCAAGAGATTAATCACCGACCCACGAGGCTTCGAGGCCTTTCTCCGCGTGACGGACTTCTTCCAGAAGATCTGTCTGCGGTAGCAGCATCCACACCTACGTAGATGTGAGTGCGGACTACAAAGAACCTCCCGATTCCAAGGGACGATTTGGGAAAGAATGAAACTGGGGCACCAGCGGGAACCGGGGACAGACAGAACGCGTAGTGGCCACAAGGCATGATTTGGAGGACGATGTAAAGAGACGACGTACTGTAGAGTAGGTAGCCTTGGCTCACGGCCCTCCACGCCATATACCCTTCGGGAGGTCTGCGGTAAGGGCTCTAGCCCGGCCGCCACGGCGTTAAATACAACAACAACAACAACAACAACAACAATACAAACGATTCAATATACTTCACTACACACTATGAACATAGTGCTAGTAACCTCTCTTGGCAAAGTCTCCATATTCCCTAGAGGCCGATGATGTGAGGTCTCCGTGGGATATTGATTCGCGAAGGACTAAATCCAATTATACTAGCGGTGTTACCGACTTTCCGCGAACATCTTCAAATGTATGCATCAGTTGAGATGTGAGAACCTGAGTCCAAGTTCGTGTAGCAATATTCATGTTTGAGAATCCGCTGATCACTCATCATATGCTATTCAAGCCAGATTATTCGCGGAGTGCCGGTCTGATTAGAACACTACCTGCCGCCTGCAAGGCTTCATGAAACTGGAAACAACCGATTGGTAGTGGGCACCTGCCATAACCTTTTGCTAACGCAGATTACAGCGGTGAACGAAGGTATCACCCACAAAAGCACAGGCCGCTGGATATCGGTGAGCCTGGCTACCTTGAAGAACATGGATGAACTGCAAGGTTCCAGGAGGGGCGGGAATGGCCGAAGAAACCGATTTAATCAGCCTCACAAACGGTTCACTCAAAGCTAGTTCGAGTCAACTTAGTTCAGGTCTAGATTAATTGTTACTCATCGAGAGTTTGGCTAGCTAAGTTGCAGCCCCACTGTTTCCGGTTCGCAGCGATCCTTCATTTAGTAGTTGCCCCAGTCAACGCTCTGACATCACGACTGGAGGCGGCAAGTTACTCAACTGACTGCATAGGATTTATTCAATCCTAATGGTCTCCCTACAGTCACGATGGCCCACCTGTAGGGCTCAATAATCGTTGCATAGAGGCTCTGCCCACGCCCGATAGTCTGGGCAGAATTATAACCGCAAGTTGGCACAAACACAACAACGCGGCCAATCAAAAAAAAAAAAAGATTTAGAACTGAGTTCGGCAGAAATTACCGGTATATTTGTTTTCATCTCCAGGCAGCTATCGAAAGGTCTTTCGTAGACCGAATCCGAGTTTGTCTACCACAGGACCCATAGCATATAAGATCCGACGTGATGGGTAGAACATAGTTGTAGCGACCGTTCAACTCCAGTCAAAATCACGTGGAAGGTCCTTCGTGGCAAGGCTATTTTTCGTACGACTGATAGTAATGAATCACGGGGTACGGTCCGAATCTTCGTATGATCACCTCTCGGTAACACCGTAACAAGAACCCTCCTAACTACTGATCCCATTGGTGTATGTGAGGTGAGAATCTTGTTCTGTGTATTCTTTCGCTCAAAAGCTAAATAGCTACACTAAAGTGCTAAAGAATCCTGAGGAGAAGAATCAATTTTCAAAACCTCGCTCCCAGCGCTTCAATAGCTTCCTCCCAATTATACATCCCCAATCAAGAACAATTACTACACGTCATCAGAAGAAGCCCCAACATACGTGATATCAACAAATACCAGAGAAGATTGAGCTCACTTTCCATAATTATTCAACTGAAAGGTACATGTTCGTCTGGCCGTCCTCCCTCTTGATGATGATCTGGTCAATGCCCTTACGAGGAAGCATGCGGTACACAGCTCGGTAAAAAGGAGTTTGGTTGAAGATGGCCCAATCCGCTTCTTGGTCGGGCTTGACTCTGATCTCGTCTTTGAAACGGAGGCCGTGTTTGGTGCGGTATTCGGTCATTGCCGCCTTCGTGGCAAGGTTTTCGACGTCGTCAATAACGACCCACCACAAATCGTCGGGATCGATGCCCTCTTTGTCGCAGAGAGCTGCGAGGACTTGGGACATGTACAACTTGTCTTCGTGGTCATCTTCCTTGCCATTATAGGCCAAGTAGACGGTCATGGTCTTCTTTTCCACGTTGATTCTGACCTTGTCAACGGGAGCGTTACCACCCGAATAGTGAGGAGTGGTAACAATGTATAGTCCATTCTGGTACTCCTCAACGGTATACCCGTGCTCCTCCAAGATACCGGCGTAGACTCCCAGGAGGGAGAGACTGAGAAGGAAGTAATAGTAAAATGAACGCATTTTAAATCGTCTAACGTCCAATGTAGTAAAAGCTGAAGAAGATAATGATACGGCCTACAGCCTTCAAGCCTGGAGGTCTGGAAGCTTGAGAGATTTAAGTGAACTAGAGGCCATCAGAATTTGCCTGAATGTGAAGTCAGTACGTAAAAGAATAATCTGATATTCGCAGATCTTGTCCTAGCTAAGACTTCTATCATCCATATTCTCGTGAAGCTGTCAAAGTATCTGAACGAGTTTCGGGGTGACCGTCCAAATTTCCGTTTTTGCTTTTCCGGTTTTCTCACAATCACGAGATGTTTTAATCATGCTTCACATGTGACCAGGGATAGAATACATTTTTGAGGTGATCGGGTCTACCGTACGTATAGCATGCACAGTGCTACAGATCATAGTGATCACGTAGGTATCTTTGCTCTTCCAATGGGTAGTAGCATTAAGGTTACGGCAATTCAATGAGTGTGGGTACATCTAACGGCTTGATTCTTTATGCTTTGTTGCTATGACTTTCCGTTCATTTGGCCGCTGGAATATCATATTTGGGCTATGAAATAACGAGTCCGCAGCGTTTTGACATCTACTGGTACCTAAAGTAAGTACCAATGAGTGACATCGCCAGGCAGCCAGAAATATATAAAATCCCACGGGTATGTATGCATTGGCATTCATCCATCATCACCTTCTCCGACAATACAAGTTGAACTCGACCAGGAACAATGAAGTTCGCCAGTTTTGCAACTTTCCTGCTTGCCAGTGTGCCGAGCGCCTTTTCGGCCACTTTGCAAGCGCGAGGAAAAGATGTGGCCGTTGGTGACAAGTGGAAGAACCATGACGATATCCACGCCCTTCCAGCTGAAGCTGCCTCTGGAGTCGAGGGAGAACTCCAACTTCGTTTCCAGCCCTTTATCAAGGTTCTTGGAGGCTGCGTTCCTTTCCCAGCCGTAGATGCTGAAGGCTATCTCGGGTAAGCATGCCCATACTCTGTCTCTAGTGTTCACTGGCTATAATTCAAGACTTTGAGGCTAACTGAGCTCTCGTGAAGCGCTGGTCTCAAGCCCACCGGCAAGGGAAATGGTGACTGTGGGGCGAGTGAGGGCCAGCTCTATGTCAGAACTGGCAAAGTCAAAGAACGCACCGGAATTATGTACTCCTTCTATGTCCCCAAAGTCAACAAGGAACATCGTCACTACTGGGCATCTATTGTTGTATGGATTTACGGTACCGACGTCAACACAGCGCAACCTGTCGGCATCAGCTACCAAACCGACAACGGAGCGTATAACGTTGGCTCATATCCCGCCACAAAGTGGTCTTCAGGCGCTAGCCTGGTGGGCAGACCCACGCACCCGCTCGTCGCCTACTGGGGTAAGAAAGTCGTCGGACCCCTTACCGAGAACATGGAGAACACGCTCAACCTCCCGATCATCGACTGGGAGATGCTGCCGGAACCTGCGCAGAAACAGCTGGACGGTGTCATTTACGAGCACACCTCTGTCCCCTTCATCGACAAGAACTTTGGCAACAACCTCAACGAGGCGTTTGATGAGGGCTTCTACGCCGATCTTCCGGGCGGCGACGGCGACGAGGATGCAGGTGACCCCACTGACCCGGAGCCGGCTGGCCCGATGCCTTCAAAGGCCCCGCCCGCTCCGACCGCTTCGAAAAAGCCTCTGCCATCAGGGATCTAATAGAATTCGATCTATGTTGACAGGAAGTGGCCAATCATCATACATCGACTAGGCCGCATATGTCTATTCCAGGCACCTTCAAAGGTAAAAGAATGGGGTCAGGGGTATTTTTGGGGCAAGGTGTAAACGGGGGATTGATACGTTCTTCACTCTTTGGTAGTAGACTTCTCGTTGATTTTGACTGCATTTCCGTGGAATATATCGTTATTTGAAACGTTTCAAAGACTGGACTCGGACAAAAAATCTAGATTGATAATGACGTCGTTCTGGAAAACATTTCTTTGATCCGCAAAGAATAGGGTTCATGATGCTGAATAGGAGGTCGCCAGGTCTAGTAAATTCAGACTTTACAAGTCACAATGATAACCTCCAGTTGAACTTCTAAATTCTTGAGGCAGCCAAGATCTTCGACGCTACTCAGTTTGCTTTGAAAGATCCAAAGACTGCCGAATACATGTACCCAAATGTCTATAGGCTTCGATCGGGCAAAGGTTGCGAGTCACAAGAGCAAGTGAGCGATCTGACCGTCTCAGAGTGCTTGAGCAAACCCCCAGCGCAACTTAGGTACCAAAAAGAGACACGAAAACAGAGTTCAAAGCAGTTGGGAAATTAAGACTTGTGTATTGCTCGTGCAACTAAGTGCCGATCTCTTTCTAACCATTGTGGATGGATATACCAGCAATGTGAAGAGACTTTCCTCTAGATGCCTTGATGTAGTACTAAATAAGCTTCCCCTAGCTCGAAAAACTTCTTACAAACTGTCTATCGCTTATTTGTCCAAGCCAGTAGGTTCGGGAGTCGCAGCCGTCGCAGTGACGGGCGGGTTGTCGGCAGGAGGCACATCGTTCGAAGGGCAGTCAGGCTCCTTTGAGACACCAGCATAGAAGCCATCACGGTAAGCGGCATCAATCTGAGCCTGAAAGTGCTCATCAGTGAAGGGGACCTGAGTCTTTTCATACTTGACGTCCTTCAGTGCCTGCTTTGCCGCCGCGGGAAGGGAATCCCAGCTGATGAGAGTACGCTCGAAGAGTTTGTCGCCATCGGCGCCGGTAAAGGGCGCAATAGCCTCATCGTGGATTTGGATCTTGGGATGTGTGGCCATGTCGATGCCCACATCCGAGGATCTGAACGAGACTTCTCCGGCAGAGGCTGAGCCCCAGTTCAGGTGGTCGGTGGTGTAGGAGATGCCAACGGGCCAGATGGACGTGATGTCGCTGTCATCGCAGCCGAAGCGGTTAACCCAGACAACAACACTGGCCCAGTAGTGGCGGTGACCGTTGTTGTTACCCTTAGCCCAACGAACCTTTGGCATGTAGTAACTGTAGACAATTGCCTTGCGGCCTTGGCTCTCTCCACGACGGACGTAGACTTGAGCCGAGCCACCGTCACCACAGCCACTTCGGCCGCCACCGGTGGGTTTCAGACCAGCGCTGTTTGAAATCTCATCAGAACGTCGACTTTCTTCGAGTAGTATGCAACGCCGGACTGGTGCATAGTTGACGAGCAAAGGAGTTCACTTACCCAAGGTTGCCCTGTGCATCCACCGCCGCGTAAGGGTCGCAACCTCCAGAAACGTAGAGGAAAGGGTTGAAACGAAGTTCCAAGCTTCCTCCAACCACGGAAGGCTTTTGGGTGAAGGGGACGACGGCGTCGTGGTTGATCCAGGTGTGCCCGCCAGAGTCATCGCCATCGCGTGGCAACAGTGATGAAGCAACACTTTGGGAGAGGGCGAGGCAGCCCAAAAGAGGGCTTAGAGATTTCAACAGCATTGTTGCGACAAAGGAGTGTCGTTTGGCAAAAATCGAAAGAGTGTGGGTAGACAATGAAAGGTAGATGACAGAGGTGCTGGAGCAAAGAGAAACAGCCGCTCAATGTAGACTTTATTTGCAGTTCTACGTTGCATCATCTCATGAACCAGCGGGTGTGTTAGTGGACGGCCGCGGAACGAGAGCAAAACTGTAAATAGATTGTTGCCGGGGGAAACGCGGCGATACCTTATGGTTTCCAAAGTAATGCTAAGTACTAATTGAGGTAAGTATCATTTTGTCACTCCCTCGGAGCCCTATCTGACTCAAGATTGGATTCGTTCATATACGGAGATGCAAGGCGGAATAAAGTCCTCCAACGCGAGTTTAGTTTCAATTCTCAAGCATTGTTTCATTCCAAGTATTAGGCATCAACGCGACTTCTATTCTCAGCTTATCCGTGCCGCGTTGAGAGGGTCCCCAATCGTAGTTTTATTGTGTTTGCTCTATCACTATGAAGTCGGCTTCTGATGTCTACTTGGTTCGAGTCAAATATAGTAGCGGCTGTGGGTAGCGAGCGGCATGAGGCGACCGATATTAAGAATCATTAAGCTATTGAGTTCTGACATTGTAGCAGTTTCACGCCTAGGACCAGATCAACGCGAAGTTCTAAGGCCTGCGTTACATCAAATGACTAGGAACAATCGACTGAGTTCGAGAGCATCTATTAAGCTTTACGGGTGTCTTGGCCGTGGAACGCGCCAAAACGATTCCGTAATTCGGATATTGCCGTATGATGGTGGGACTCTCGGCACACGGGGTGGCCCGCCTCTAATTTGGACACTGTCCGTGCCGCAAGCTAGAATTCACGAGGAAATTCCCGTGGTTCATCCAAGCTCTGGTAGCGTCAACCTTGTTACTCCAAACCGATCGCAGTAAGCCGTAGCTGCAAAGGGGAAAAAAACCACTTGCTCTCTAAGGCGCGGGACTGCAGTCAGCAAGTTTCAAGCAGTGTCCTCCACAAGAGGCGTTGTTGCATCAAGTCCTGATGAGCCGAGCGAGCATGTTATATATACCTCCTCAACTAGTGTTTACATACAAAAGCAACGCATGTGAGAATTGCATGTTACTGGTTGCTCTTCCGGGGCCCTCCACATGTGGATAGCATTATTGATCATTAAACGCTATCAACTGCCGTTTAAGGTACCTTACGAGTGCAACTTCTTCAGCATTGCGAAGCTACATCTCATCGGCAATCTACTATCAAGTTCCTCAACTGCTATGTTAATATGAGCTTGGGGTAGGTGTGAAAAATAAATGAGAAGTCAGAATGTTCAAGTAGATTTGTCGTGCGAGTGGGTAGACTTGTATAGGGGTGGCATACCTAGTTCTAATATCTTCCCAGGGGACGGCAGTAATTTGAAAGTCGTTCATAAACCCGTTTGTAAGGTCTCGATATGGTGGTTTCTAAAAGTACTTTGATACAATGAAGTTGCCGTTAATCAGACAGCCTGAGCCAATGAAAGCTGGACGCTATGGACAAGCGCCAGTGCCTTGAGAAATCAAGGTTCGCTTTGACATCACACCTAGTTGAATCCTACGTAGACCGTAGACTCTGGCCTTGTGAATAAATGATTGTCTATTACTGGTCCCAAGAATCCTTATAAGAATCCTTATCATGCTAACATATGACGAAATGATCTCCAGGTTCGCTCTCGTCCTCTGGACGCGCGTTGATCTGCACCGGCTTATATTCGACGTGTGTTTCCGTCTTCAAGCTCCGTGGCCCTTTCTCTGCAAGAACAATAAATATAAGCATTAACAATGTGTCTGGTGCCTAAACGTACGCTCCATGTTATCCAATGATACCATCCCTTTCCCAAACGACCATGTCTTGGCAGATGATGAGATCTTAGGAGTGCAGCATACCACTTGGCTTTCGGACTCGCATCACTGTAAGTGGACTAGTAATTGAGCCATGTAAGCTGGTAGCTCACTCAAAAAAAGAAAAAAAAAATAGAAGCTCATGATTGATCAAGTTTCTGATTAATGCATGTAGGAGGGGGCGCAGCTAATCCATGACACTTCAACCACTACACTTATCGGGCCTCTGTTCAACATAGGATACACAACCCTCCAGAGTACGTTATGCACGTGGAGGTTCAAATCTAAGATAATGGGCGGTTCATCCCATAGGACTAATGGGCCTCATCAGCTCGAATAGGCTCCCTCGGACATCATTGAGTCTTGGAACTCTCAGGTATATCTTACGGGCATTTCTCCTCGATTACCTTATTCCCTCATCTTGCAGAACCACACACCATGATCATCAATCATATGTTACTCTAAGCGAAATGCAACTAAGAGTCTATTTTGTGATAACACTGTTGAAGATTCTAGCAACCGGTCAAACATGTTACTGGCCTAATGGAGTCCCCAACGATGTTGTCAAGCCCTGCCCTGTTACCGCGGGCACCGAAGCAGCTGCATGCTGTTTCGAAGACCACTATTGCCTGACAAATGGTCTATGCTTCGAGCCTTTGACGTTAACCATGTATCGAGGGGCATGCACCGACGAGACTTTCCAGTCAAGCGGATGTCCTAAATACTGTGACAAGAGCGATATTCCTGGAAGTGGTGAGTCTGCTTTTGTTGGCGTAACAATTAGACCTTGTCGTTGATAAGAAGTATCTCTGACATCTGCAAATCTCTTAGACAATTCGCTCCACATCGGCGTCTGGACTTGTGGCAACGCACGATTTTCTTGTAGCAATCTGCAGAATTGCGCAACCGGCAACTTCACCGTCAGTCTTCCCGGCAAGATTATGTTGAATTAGGCGGCGAGTACGGATCTCGGAGACATGGCCGCATTTACATCTACGGCTGGCAACAGTAGCGGTACATGCTCCATGGGCAATGATACAGACAGTAAAGGCAGCATCTCCGCTGGCGCCGCAGCAGGTATCGGAGTGGGTGTTGGTGTACCTCTTGCGATTGCCGCCGGAGTACTGGCTGTGATGCTGTTGCGCGAGAAGAAGAAGACAGCGACGACGTCACAGGCCTCAGAGATGGTCGAGAATGACGGCTCAAAAGCCAGTGGTCCAAGCATACAGCCCGTTTGGGTTCATGCCCATACGGGCCCTCCTGAATTATCCAACCAGCAAGACGTTCGGCACGAGCTGCCACAGTAATTGAGTGTGGACGATCGTTGACTAGCACTTGAGAACCACGGGAGTTGATCAGAGTGCATTGCGATATTTCAATATCTCAATATGCTTTCGAATGCTTCATGTATGGATATGTCTTGATTGTATGTTTATAGTCTGTTGTACGCGTGTAACAATCCAATGGAAGAGGTATCAATCTCGTTGTGTGGTGGACTGTGTTCGTGTGACCGGCACACTCAATTGTACGTAGATGCAAAAGGAAATCGTAAACATGTACTCGTAAGCAACCTCAATCAGGCAGAATGTGCTGCTCGGCGTTTTTCGGCCCCGGCAATGTCTACCACAACGTTGTGATAGCAGTAAGAATGGCTGTCCAAAGCAGCGCCTTGCCGGGAGATAGCGAGCTAGCAAAGTTGCCTTCACCCTTCTGGCCCTTTTCGAATCCCTGTTCATCGCCGCCAAGGTATAGAGCACCAAGGTCCGTCAGACCGCCATCGCCGTCAAACAGTGACACGGAGTTACCGGTCCATGCGTTGGCCTCATCTTTGCGGAAGGCACCGAACCATGCATAGCCCTCGACGTAGTCCAGACCGTCCAGATACGCCAGACTCTCGTTCATCATGGCGAGAGTGGCATCCGTGTCTTGTTTGGGGAGGGCCATCTCCGTGATCCAGTACTTGAGATCCGGCGATGTGGAGTTGTAGAAATCCCGAAGCCCGTCGAGGTGGTTCTTAAGGCCGGTCGCATCGCCGTACCAGTGCACGGCGACAAAGTCGGTCGGACAACCGTTGTCGTCAATGTCGTAGCACGACTCGTTGAACTTTTGCAGCCACTCGATGCCCTGCGAGGAGCCGGTGACTACCGGATGGCTGATGTTCCACTTGCGGGAGCCGGAGTTGCGGAAGGGCACAATGTGCTCAATGTAGGCCTTGGCAGCATCTTCAGGGTCGATACTACTGCCGCCAGATGATGTCGTTCCGTCGGGCTCATTGAAAGTAAGAAGATGGGTGGATGATCCAGGTAGTGCGCTGAGACGTGAGCTGAGGCCTGAATCTGAAGCATCATCGACGCCGTGGATGAGCGGGACAAAGGCGATGGAGCTGTTCAGGACCTGTGCAGGCCATGTTGACCATGTGTAATACCAGCTGATCAGTGACTTTGCGGAGGTGAGCAGCTGGCTGTCGGCCGTGTGGTCGTCGCCCTGGAAAGCCAACCCGCGTTTTGAAGGCAGGTCGGACTGTGCGAAGGCTGTGGAGTGGAGGGCCAGCGACGCTAGCAATATGCGACTTGTTCGTCTCATGGTGCCGCAGGTACAGAAATGACCCCTTATCTATCTAACGTGAAAGAGAGTAGGAAGTGGTTCGTGGAGGATGATCCTTGTGTAGTTTGATGCATAGCAATCGGGTTCGGATGCAGCCGAAGGGGGTGTCGACTTTGCATATATATTTGACAATCTTTCAAATTTGAACTATTCAAGTAAATAGTAAATGCTGCAAGGCGCAAAAGAACTTGTTTAGCCGAGAGCCTAGACAAGCAGGATTTCTTCTTGCTGACGGCTCTCACGCCCATTTCAGTCATTGACCTCATTCGAGACCATCGCGCTCTTGGCGAGGGGCGACAATCCGGTGACGTCATATTCCCTGGTCTCGCAGTCCTTGGTTGGTGCCAGTTGGATTGGCCAAGGCAAGCCCCCTTGTATGCGTAAGCCACACCGCAACGGTCTTGAACGCTGACAAAGTCACAAGAGAAAATTGAGAAGTTGGTCGGGCAAGGGTCCTGGTCGAGGCCCGTCATTGGTCTTGGGTCTAGACATGTGTTTACACAGTAGCAAGGAGTGGTGCCATGGACAGAAGGACTCACGTTCAGTTGCGGCTGTCGGCGATGGGCCCTGGCATACCCCTGTCAGAACATGTCATCGGTTCGTCCAGTGAACTGGAAGACTGCCGTGAGTGCCTGAAATTGATTAATTAAAACTTTTACTTTTGGAAAAGCAGAGTCCTGCGATTATCCACAGTCGCAGTGCTCTGCAAGCTACCTATTACAACACAATCGCTAAAGCTAGACCTGATGACTTTAGTTGAGACGTGACTGCCCCGGGGCGAAATGGACACAACTATTGGTTTTTGAGCTGAGTGCGAGTCTTCAATCCAGCGGAGTTTGGAAGGTATCTAGCCAATGTTCGTGCTCAGTTTCTCAGGTCATGATGAAGCGGTGCGTGTGGTGATGGTCTAGGTACCTACGTAGAAATAGACAAAACCTCTGGAGACCAGAAATTGACTTCGGCCATTTGAAGCTTATCATACGGATTCCTAGACGCTATATCCGTATGGCAGCATAGTCCAATCTGATTCCGAGCTACTCGGAGCCTCGGGGAGTAAGGTCGGCCTGCCTACCTTAGGGAACTGATCCGCATCGCTCACGAATATGAGCGCACTTGGCGATTGAACCCGCCGCAATGCCTTGAGAACTCGGTTCCTTTCCTCGGTACACAACATCCCGTTTTGGCTCTCGGAGCTTAAGCTGGCCCGAGATCATCGACTTCCCTCGACTATATAGGAAAACCAGCATTCCGTTGCAAACTTAATCCTTTGAGCCTATCACGAACGGTATACGCGAGAGCGAGTCAGCATCAACTACAAAATAGGCGGGCCTCGTCTCATATCTACATTTATCAACTGTGAACTCAATCCCGCTGTTGAGCGGTCTCATATCAAATAAGCAACGCAGCCATCCGCGCCGCTAGGCGGTACTAGGCGGTACTGGGTGTGCTCCGTACGGGATCTGTAATGCACATCAAGTTATCAACTACTGCCGGTTGGCTCGACGGCTATCTCCATCACTCTACCCACCACAAGGTGGTAACAAGTATGCCGCAGTATTCCTTACCTTAAGACATCCTCCCGGAAACTTTCTTATACGATGTGGGCCTTTCTCGCTCTCGTACTTAACGTGCTGAGTTGACTGTCGACTGTTAATGTGATATAAGTACAAGTCTTGGTACAACTGAAGCATTGAATGCATTCTCATATTATTCACTTCACAATCACAACTCTGCCATACCTGAGTACTTTAAATAGCCTGGTCTTCCGTATCAACCGTCACTCCAAGCCCAGATTCACCATGCACTTCCAAGCAACAACTCTTGCTCTGGCCGCCGCTGTCATCTTCCAGAGTGTTTCAGCACAATTTTGCACTGGCCCCCCCCGCAGACTGCAACTTCGAAGATGTAAGATCTTTAGAAGACAATTCTTGACACCGAGTACCTCAATGGCAAGAGCAGATGCTGATAGTTCGACTCAATATAGTGCAGAATCAACTATGTTGATCCTTGGGCGATCTGCAAGTCAAAGGTCCGTGCCTGCTCGAGAGCAGCTGATCCCTCGAGATTCAGGCAAATCCTAAACGGCAATGAGATGTCTGAGCTGACTTGTATATCAGTGCACTCCCAACTCGGGCCGCGATGCCGCGGTTTCTTGCTGTTCTGGATCGCTGTACTGCCCGGCATGATTAAGCGCACCATGATTCGGTGGAAGTAAATTGTGATAACATCAAGGGGGTGGAGCTTACGACTAGTTGCATTGAGCGCATTGGCGAGATTTCGGCATTTTAAATGTAAATATTCAATTTCATATTTACCTTAGTCGAGGGGGTAAACGTGAATTATTGTAACGATTTCATACCTCTTAGTATGGGTCTGAGAATTGGCAACGTCATGTATCCTTCAACTGAGACTACATACACCGCCTGACAAGCTGAAAATGACATTGCCATGCTGTTTCCCGGGCATTGAGCTCTCGACTTCGGGAGGTCATTACAAACAGGGAGTTGCCGGTTCACTAAGAAGCGGCATGCGCAAGGTCAAGAATCATACTCTGTTGGGTCCTAATTGAAAACCCTAACCCTCATCATCTTCCCTGATGAAAAACAGCTAACTAACCCTCTGAAACGCAAAAAAATTCCAAAACCAATGGTGCCTCGAGGGCGAATCGAACGCCCGATCTTCTCATGACGAACTGCAGTACGAGTGAGACGCTTTACCACTGAGCCACCGAGGCAGGAAAACCAGATCATGGTTGGTGGTTCACAGATGCTGGTGAGTCAGCGCAGGACGACTAAGTCACACCGCCAATTTGAGTCTCACGATGCACCGACCGAGTTATCGATGATGGTGTGGTGGTTGTCAAAACTCAATACGAGGGAAACTCTCTCATTTGTTGAGACAAAGATGTGTGGATGACTAACCTCCGCGCGGGTCGTCTCGACTTGCCGTTCCCCACGTGCGATTCGTTTCGCCTTTCCCCCAGTTGGGACGAAATAACTCATATGCCTGCGCGCGGGTGTAAGCACCAAAGAAATCTTACAGAATAGTACGAGGAGGCAGTTTTCATAGGCTGGCATCGAGATAAAACTATGAAGTTGCTCTTTGATTGCGCATCTGTCTAGGTTCAAAACACCTTTCAGAATCGATGCGCGCGGGTCTGGTATTGGGAACAAGCCACATCGCCGAGCGATGCAGAATCCCTCTGACGTGGTCAAGCCAAGCGCCAAAAAACGCCAGTGATGATTATGGATCAACAGCACAAGAGCCGAAGTTGCAATATTTGGTTGGAAGAACGTAATCACAATTATCATCCTCGGAAGCGAGCTGACCTTTTGGCTACTATTCAGTGTACATAACGTTTTGACATAAAAGGCTGGTTTATTGCCGCTCCCGAGTACTTCCAATCCACAGCAAACATTCAAGCTGAAATACAGAGTCATTGTAGAGCTTTGCAAAGTTCAATCAACTCTCAGGGCTTTTGATCTCACATCTTCCACCTTGCCGATATGATTGCCTTCAAGAAAGTTGCCGTCATTGTGACGAGTACCCGAACTCCACGCATCGGGACCAAGGTCGCAGAACTGGTGAAAGACACGATCACCGCAGATACTACCAACAGCGACATCGACTTGTCTCTCGTTGAAGTCGCCACATTCAACTTGCCTGTATTTGACGAGCAGATTATCCCCGCTCAGGTGCCAGCCGCGGGAAGTTTCGCCCACGAGCACAGCAAAGCGTGGAGTAGCGAAATCGCCAAGTACGACGCCTACATCATCGTGGTTCCTGAGTACAACCGCGGCCTGTCTGGTGGCGCCAAGAACGCCATCGACTACTTGTACAACGAGTGGATTGGCAAGCCAATCTCCATTGTCAGCTACGGTATCATGGGCGGCAACTCGGCGTCAGAGCAGGCTCAGAAGACCCTGGAGGGCATGAAGCTCCGGATTGCGCCGACGCGACCGGCGCTTGCTTTTGCAGGTGGGGCCGGGCCGGATCTGGTGGCTGCGATGAGCCACGGCGAGATCGGCGAAGAGTCGCGGAAGAAGTGGGAGGCGGAATCGGAGACCATCCTCAAGGCCTTTGGGGAGTTGAAGGAGCTCCTCAATGCGCCAGCTCCGGCCAAGACTGACCTTTAAGATAGACCTGGGCTAGAAAGCACCACTGGTACCCGTTGACGGTGGCGTGGAGAAAAACAAGCTTGATTTTTAGCTAGAGTTAGTTCGCAAATTCCAGATCACCTAACCTAACCCAATTCGCGCGGTGGAACTCCACCTCCTAATGTCGCTAAACCCCCGTCGACAGCATCGTGTTCCTTCGTGTTGGTCGAGCTATTGCTCTGCTGCCTATTTGAAAGTTACTGTGCCGCCCGGCTTTGCATTAGCCTGAAATTCTCGTCGCATCAGCCATCGATTTGATCGCTCACTTCCCTTCGCGTTTTGTTCTGCATTTTCCCTCTTGTTTCACCATGCGTCATTCTTCGCCGTCATTCGTTTTTTGTCCTTCATCGTCATGAGGACGTCCGCTCTCTTCGCGCTCGGTGGCGGCGCAATCGCTGTCTTAGCGCAAGTTCATCTACCCTTCTCCCATCAACCTCAGCTGAAGGCTAGTGCCAATATCGAAACAAGGGACTCAGCCGGTCGCCGATCTGTTTCTGTCGCGGATGTTTACGTGACGGATTGGAATTATTTGGTCAACGTCACTGTCGGCACACCGCCACAAGACGTCTCCATGAGAGTTTCTGTACAGGCTGAGCACACTTGGGTTCCCAACGCCAAGTATTGCGACTACTACAACTACAGCGACTATTATGATTCTACTTCTACGAGGAGCTCCTACTACCTCGATTCATACTCGTGCAAATACGGTGCTTTCCAGAGCAACGAGTCATCCACCTACGTCAATCCCGGCACCGAAGATTTCAGTGCCAGGTACTCAGTTGGCCGAGCTCAGGGAGAATGGATTAGCGACACGTTGGGCGTGGCCGGCAGCCAGATATCTAAAATGATCATGGGTTACGTTCAATCGGCAGATGTGTTGATTGGTGTTCTGGGCCTGGGCTTCAACACCACCAGTGGTGCACAATCCACCGCCAGCCCGAGCAGCACCTCGAATTATCCTACTGTTCCTGAACGCTTATTACGAGATGGCCTGATTAGCTCCCCTGCCTACAGTCTCTGGCTGGACGACGCGTCGGCCAAGTCTGGAAATCTTCTACTGGGCGCAATCGATATCTCAAAGTTCGAAGGCCCTTTGATCCGCTTCTCAGTGCGCACAATATCGGGGTGGTCAACGAATAGGCGATTTGATACCTGGATTACGTCCTTCAATGGCAGCAAGTCAGATGTAGATGACCTACAGCCTCTTGGAGAATCTTTGAGCCAATCAACCGACCCATATGATACCTCGAATCTGGTCCTCCTCTCGCCAGATGCTGCTTTGTCAGTGCTACCAGACGACATAGCCATAGCTCTCTGGGCTCTCGCTGGCGCTTCCTGGAACGATGATCTCGGCTACGCCATCATCCCCTGCGCGGCGGCGAATACCACCACGGGACGTCTGGCCGTCCAACTTTACGGATCGGACGGACCCGTCCTCAATGTAGCTATTGCCGACCTCGTGGTTTCTCAGGATACCTGGTCTCACTCTGAGTGGTCTTGGGAGACCGAGTCGGCTTCCGAGTACTGTCTGTTTGGGGTCCAGTCAGAAAACTCTACCTCAACATACACGTCTTCTTCCTACCCCTATGGCTTGGGCAGCGCATTCCTTAAGCATTCCTACATGGTTTTCGACCTTATCAACGAAGAGATTGCTATTGCAAAGACGAAATTTGGCAGCACACAGACGGAGGACCTAGTTTCGTTCTCGGCCTATGGAGCCGAGATCCCCGCGTCGACCAGTGTTGTGCCGGACTGGTGCTCATCTTCGTCGTCTAAATGTAGAACAAGTGACTCGGGCTCGGGCTCCGGGGGCGGATCATACGACGGCGGTACCACCTACATGGGCGATGGTTATTACCCTGGACGTCTTCCCCTAGAGGCAAATCTAGCCATCGGTCTCAGTGTCGGCGTTTTCTGCACTCTGGTTTTGGGCATGTCTATCTGGGCCATCAGACGAGGCCGCCGCATCAGGAAGGCGCAGAGAGAGCTGGCTGAAAAGCAAGCCGACGTGCAACAAGGCGGCGATACACGGGTCCTGGATGGCGACGGCAATGGCAGCAACGTGGATCAAGAAGCCTCGTTTTCTCAACATACGCCAGTCGCAGCGACTCGAGATCCTTCTGTGACCGATACAGCTGCAGAGCAACGTGCTACTGAAATTGTGGGAACTGCCAAGTAAGAGCGAAGTGTATGACAGACAGACTTAGTGCAACCTGTGATTCCACCGGGCCATGTGCCATGGAGTGTAATTATTGAAACAATTCATTGAGCTTCTGCCTGATCACTCTGATCCTTCGACAAAATATACTGCCGAAGTCCGGGGTTCCAACTGCAACTAAAGTAACGTGCGGACCGATCCGACTTCTGTCTATGACGACCATGACTAGTCACTAGACCTGGCGAGCCAGATAGCGAGTCGGAAGGTAGCCTAACTTGCACAACGCGGTAGTAGTCGCTAGATGCCCAGATCTCAACTGTCATCCTGATGCTGAATGGTGGTTCGCTGCTTCTCGTAGATCCTCATCTAGGGAATCCGAAGCGTCGGTTTCCATTTGCAACGTTGCAGATCACATATTACTTCTAGTGAGCCTCATGGACACTGCAGATGGCATAGGAAACCTCGAGGTCAACCGCCGATACCACTCTGCAATATGCAAGAAATCAGATGGCAGCTGCTCAGATGGTGTTAGCAGCTAGAAGAAGCCCCTGAGGTAGCCGCTCTTGACGAAAGGGCGGAGCGGGTGATGTGCCGCTGCCGTCTTATCACATTCTCACCTTCCAGAAGGGAGTAGTAAACTCCGTAGGATTTCTTCAGTGTGGTATATCGGACGGGGTAATTCGATACCGAATTTGGATATTTCGGTTGTGGGTTGGTCTCTCTTTTGACACTTTGTCTTGAGGTAGTTTGTCTCGGCAGTGCAAGTTGGCCAGAGTTATCAAAGACAACACCCACTCACTGGAATTGAAGGTCAATAGAAACACGTCACAAGTCTCTCCTATAATTCCCCCACCGCGATAAGAAGGAGAAAGCTTTTGGGGATTCGCCAGAAACGAAGCATGTGCTCACATTGAGCCTGTCCCAAAAGGGCGATAAGCCCACACAGTGGAGGGTCACATTCGGCCCCGACTCGGTCATTCGCCCTACACTGGCCAAATTGTAGGCACATGGCCATTCAAGGGTAGGTCCTGAATAATGTCAGAACTCAGCCAATCTCAACGACTCTTCTCGTTGTGCTAACAGAGGAAAGTCGGCTACCACCTGCATTAGCACCGGCCCCTCACCTTGCTCCTAGCCACTCACCAGCCACCATCACCAAATCCTCACCTTTGGTGTTGGCGCTCCCTTGACACACAAAATTTCATAGCGAATCTCCGAGCTGTTGCTTGCAACCAGTACTCTGGGTGGGTACGTTGGACTATGGTGTGCTAATGGTACATTGAGCGGCCAGCCTCGCAGGTCATCGCCATCTTCATTGCTACCACTCGAACGTGACAAACAAACGACGCGTTCGAATTCTTCCACATGCACAAGCCAGCATACCAAGAATTCGTCCCAGAGGCGGATCTAAGGGGTTTGCATGCCCGAATTTTTTTTTGACAATCTCATTTGAAGACAAGTAACGTTTCGGCTGGAATGGGCCGGGTTTGCAAGTGACATCCCGACGACTGGATGCCAGGACTTCAACAATGATATTGTTGCTCGACGGCTGACTACTGTAGATAGCGCCTTGTCTAACATCGCCGGACACAACTAGTATAATATGATCAGTTGATCGCTTCATGTCCAGTGACGTGTACCTGACTTGCAGAGACATTCTCGTATTCACTCCTTTAGCAAGCTATTTAACGGATCAAATCATACCGCTTTCAAGATGAAGTTTCTTCAATCATTAATCACCATGGGTGCCATACTCTCAACAGCTGTGCGCCCCTCGACGGCGGCGCCGACGAACATCACGGAGCGAGGTCTCCAGGGCTACACAAATGCAGTCTACTTCACTAACTGGCAAGTTTTGGATGTTCAAGTAGAAGAATTCTGCTAATCTCATTGAAGGGCTATTTACGGTCGCAATTACCAGCCCCAGAATCTTCCAGCATCGCAGATCACCAATGTTCTCTACGCCTTTATGAATCTGCGCGCGACGGGTGAAGTGTAAGTCAATTCACAACTCACCCTAGACGACTAGCGCAGGAACAGGAAAGCTAATGTTCCTACCCACTCAAAGCTACACCGCCGATACCTATGCCGATTTAGAGAAGCACTATCCCACCGATTGTAAGACCCATTGGTCATAGTTAGCCTGATACGGACTTATACTGACTCATTGTGACTGTAGCATGGAACGATGTCGGCACCAATGCTTATGGCTGTGTCAAGCAGCTCTACCTGTTGAAGAAGGCCAACCGCCGCATGAAAGTCATGCTCAGCATCGGAGGCTGGACATGGTCAACCAACTTCCCCGCTGCCGCCAGCACGCCTGAGGGCCGAACCCTCTTTGCTCAGTCCTCGGTCAAGCTCATGAAAGACTGGGGGTTTGACGGCATCGACATCGACTGGGAGTACCCAGCCAACGCCACTGAAGCAGCCAACATGGTTCTCCTGCTCCAGGCAGTCAGAAGCGAGCTGGACTCCTACGCCGCCCAGTACACTCCCGGCTATCACTACCTGTTGACCATTGCCTCACCCGCCGGCCCCAGTCACTACAACGTCTTGAACCTTAAAGCAATTTCCGATGTCATTGACGCCTTCAATTTGATGGCCTACGACTATGCCGGCTCTTGGGATGCCAATAGCGGCCATCAAGCGAACTTGTACCCGAACCCCAGCAACCCTTCTCCGACGCCCTTCTCGACCGATGCCGCAGTCAACGATTACCTCGCAGCGGGCGTTCCAGCCGCAAAGATCGTTCTCGGCATGCCCATCTACGGACGCTCGTTCGAACAGACCAACGGCATCGGTCAGCCGTTCTCCGGCATCGGTAGCGGATCTTGGGAGAATGGAGTGTGGGACTACAAGGCTCTTCCTAAAGCGGGCGCGACCGAGCTTTACGATGCCACGGCTGTTGCTTCCTACAGCTACGACTCAGCCGCCAAGGAGCTGATCTCTTACGATACACCCGCTGTTGTGCGGACCAAGGTCTCCTACTTGACCGGCAAGGGCCTCGGTGGCTCCATGTTCTGGGAGGCGAGCGGTGATAGGACTGATAGTGGGAGTCTTCTGGCTACCAGTTTTAATGCGCTCGGTGGCACCGGCACCCAGGACCAGAGTCTTAACCAGTTGAGCTACCCTAACAGTCAGTACGACAACATCCGCGCGGGTGTACCGGGCGGTTGAAGCTGGAGATTGAGATGTTGTAGCTCATGTCATTTCGGTCTCTTTTGTCACATGGCGTTTGGCGCAACGGGTTTCGGGCTAATTGGATTGTCCAGACGCCGGATCAGCTCATGCACTACTTTTTTTTACCTGAGCTCGCATATGAGCTTTTAGTCCTTTTACTTCTCTTTTACTTACTACCTCAGATAATAATCCACTGCCTTTTCTTCTCTCGATCACATCTGCTGCAGTTTAGCTCACTGCATTCACCTCTGCTGTGGGTCTCATGCCGACAGCATCGTGCCTCAACTCGGTTTTCCGCAGTTTCTCCTTCCCCGTCCTAGAGTTTCTGTCCATAGACAGCGTGGCTGAGAAGCTATTAGCACACTTATACATTCTCTAGGTTCTTTCGGCTCACTAGTTCAGATATGCGTGGAATGCACCGCTCTTCAACTCTTGGCGAACCTGGGCTAACAGCACCACTACCTCCTCTCTAGTCCATCCAAGAACACCAATGAACAGCTTTAAAGTGAATGCATCGAGACCCTCCAGAGTTCGAGCGAGTTTGCACCATCCCAAGTCCTTATTGTGGGCGTCCTTAGACCAAGGACCCAGAGGTATCTTGAAATGCCGGTGAACAGCATTCTTGAATGGCGCTTGACGAACCCAGCCCTCCAGTTTGGGGCCTGGAGAGTCTTCGCGACCCAGCTTCTTGCAAGCTTCGATGAACAGTCGATCCCGCTTCATGATTGCATGCTCCTCCGTAAGTGTTCCGTCGTCGCATGCGTAGAGCACACTCATGTCTTGAAACTCGGCCCAACCCTTTGGCGCAAGGTTTTTAGCGAGCAAATCGGTTATTCTAATTTGACCGAGAAATCAGGTGCGCATCATTGTACAGTGGTGGTCGCCGCCTCCGAGGAAAGAGCTATTGAATGCCGGGGAACTCACTCGTATACTCTGTTCACGAGCTTTGGCCAGTCCGCGATAGATGCCGCCATGTATCACGTGAAAATGAAGTCGTATTTGTTGCTGACAACCCATTCGCTTTCGACATCATCAATCTCGAACTTGACATTTGGCGGCACCCTGGTTCCAAATTAGCCAAAGTCATCTTTCCAATGACCAATGCCCTTACCATTCTGGTTGGATTGGGCTCAAGTCATTTCCAAAAATCTACCAGTCTCAATGTCAGCCTCTTTCTCGCCACAGCGTTTATATTTCAGATGCGTGTACCTCAGAATTTGGAAAGAGGTCGACAATCTTGATGGCTCCTAATTAGTCACACTAATGGTTAATTTGGGAATGCAAGACTCCATCGGTCTGGAGAAAGCTTACAAATCCCAGTAACGGTTCCAACGTCGAGGATGCGATGCGTTGCCTCAGCCTTGATTGGGGCAAGAAAGAACTTGTTGCCGATGGTCTTGACAATCATCGTATGTGTCAAATATAAGCGATCCATCTCTCTCTTACACAGACATAATGTCAGAAGTGACTAAGCGGAAGATAGGATTCGTGTATGGCGTTGTTACCTCATCGTTTGGAAAGTTATATGCTGTTAAGAACGCAGTATTGTTGTGTGAGCTGTGCTGGGTGTGTTATATGCGGTCTTTGATTGTCCACTTACATCCTGCTCGGAAAGCATGATAGGTTCGCCCATATTCTTCCGGATAGTCCACAACGCTTGATGTCCAAGACGCCGTATACGAAGAGCTAGGGATATGAGCTATGTTAGTCGATTGGCCCAATTAACCTGCGAGCGAGATAGGCGTCAGGGTGTCTGGCTATTCTTTACATTCGGTCATCGACGGTAGATGCATCATAAGTTGAATCAAAAGAGAATCATCATAAACAAGTGGCTTGGACGGTAGCTCAAAGTGACGTATAGTTGTGGCACTGCCTCGCCGATAGATCCTGAATACGAGCAGACTCGATCTGGCATGGGCGTCAATCAACTTCAACATTAACTTCCCAAGATCACCACCTCCTGTTCAGGTTGGATACGAATATGATACAAGTAGTCTGCCATCTAAATGCCTACTTCGAACTCAGTGGAATTCTATTCACGCTAGTAATTTGCGCCTGGTGAATTGGACGGAGCTTGTAACCATGCTGTACCAGAATAGCTTCGTCTTTCAACTTTTTTGCCGGTTCGCCCCTTTGCTCCTTCCAATCAACCAGCTTAGCTCTGCATGTCCAGTTCGGTGCATTCCTTACCACTTCATGGCTTACGAAGAGGTGGAGATCCCTGAGAGTAGCTCTCAAGAGTGACAAGTTGCCAAGATATTGTTCCGCAGGCTGCGCTGCCGTGATGGGAAGATCCTCCCTTAGGAGGCCCATTACCAATGAACTAAGTAGCAAACTGTCGCATTGCTGACGCCACGTCAATTCTGCGCTAGAAGTGCACCAGAAGTCGTTTCCAATGGCCGTAGTCAACTGGGTGTAGAGCTCGACGTAGGGGCTGAGTTTTGCAGCAACTGCAGCCTCGCGATGTTTTCGGATGATCTCTGTTTGCTCTAATGTCAGAATGGTTACCTTTTTTCGAGTAGAACATGAAACAAAGGTCTAGACATACCAAGCAGCCAAGGAGGTTCCAAAGTTGTCAACTCATCAAGATAAGTGCCCCCATATTGCAATCGCTCGCTCCCATCGGGTGAACGCACCGACTCGTTTGCAATCTTCGTCACCATTGCATTGAAAATTTCCTCTTTGCCAAGCTCCCAAGCGACGCGGAGCAAGCCGAGATGTTGATTTTCGCCCTTGATTCCTTCCATTCATCCAGCAGCCCAAGGACAGGTGAGAAATGTGACAGTGTAGTTGTCGGTCAAGACGAGAAGCGCAGTCGGGTCTTTCAGAGTGAGTAGCATGGAGACCTGATCGAACCATCCATGAATGATGTCAAGAAGGATCTGAAAAGGTTTTGCGCCATCGTCTGGAAGCTCAACCGCCCAATCGGCACCATCATCTTCGGACGACTTTGACTCCTTGAAGCCACCGAATAGCATTCTCTTGAAAACAAGTGAGTACCGGGCAAGCGTCTTTGCGCAGACAAAGAAGGATTGCGTGGCCCTACCTGCGCCAACTACGATCTCCAGGTCCCCATCTTCGTCGATTGTAATCGTGAGAGAACAGGTGCTCAACATGTGTGTTTGGCTGGGTCAGTTAATATGAACAGGGGATAGGTTTCAGAAGTGGAGTAAGCCAACGTCAATGCCCATGCAACAAGGTGTTCAAAAGTAAATGAAAGGCTTGGTTACACTAAGTTGATGATGACGTTATCGTTGATTGTGTCTTCAATGGTTGTCGCCGTTTGTGGTGAAACAGAAGGAACTGACTGGCGGTGTCAGGAATTTGGGTGACTGGTGAAGGGTCTACCAGAGATGATGCCTCATTGCGTTGGTATGATTGGTCAATGAGGCTGCTCTTCCATACCGCCTTCTAGAACAAGGTCCCCTTGGACAACTTTACCCAGGACATGAATACCGTAATTACCTTGTCAAAACACCAATTAAGGTTACGTGAGAGCTACAAATAATTTTCATATATTTAATTATACAAATAACTTAGTAACAAAGAGATATTTTAACATCATCTCAATCTGACACTCACAAGGAGTCGCGGCGTCCAGAAGTCTGATTCTAGCCTTCGTTCTGCTAACGAAGGCAAACCGAAGGTAGTCGAAGAAAGGACTGAAATTTCCATAACATACGTATCAGATGCTTTGTGCCTTTCGATTCAAGCAAAAACGAAGTCCGAAGAAGTAGGAAAATTCACAGCCTGCTGATCAGCTAAGAAGGGAACGTCCAGAACATCTAACCGTGGGACAATGTTGAAATGTTGAATTTCGGGGAGTTTGTGCTGATTTCGCTCACTTTACAACGCATCCGCAAACAACATTGAAGCAAGGACAGCCTGATTCTTCATTTATCCGAAAGAAAGAGCATATACTTCAATAATTCTACATCCCATGTCAACCGAGCTCCGTCAATTAGATCACATCAGCTGGGAAGTTGCGAGTCGGAGCTTGGAGTGGAAAAGGCGGCCGACAGAGGTCAGGCACACGGTCCATGTTCGGCGCCGGAAATTTTTCATGTTTGGGCGTTTGTTGCTGAAATCGGAGCCTGGTTTGACTGACTTCGACGTCTTGAAAGCTTAACTTGTGGCGATCCTGGGCCTAGGCGCGCCAAGACCGTGTATCAAAGCTATGCGTAAGTGCATGTATTCGTACCGACAACTCGGAACATGCATCCCAGACTCAATGTGCAAGCAAGCAGAAAGTTGCATTACTAATCACGACTTGCGAGCCCCGAACGCCTTAAAGCCAATTCTCCCACGTCGATCACTCCATGTCACCGTTTTCCCCATACGGATTCTGTCCGGCCCCGTCTCAACAGTAACAAATGATATTGAGCCTTCCGCAGCGATCTGCTCCGTTCATGCGTACTGCGTAACTATCACTTGACCTTAGACATATTCGGGTTCTAGAACAAGGCATGCAGAACATGAAGTGATAGAAAATTCCATCGGAGAATGGTCTCATGATAGCCGGTCTTACTGTTTTTGTTTCAAGCCTGCACGACTTCTGAAGTAAGAAGATTTGAGCATGCTTGAATTAGAGCTTGATTAATTTCCGTGTCTGTGGGGCAGCATTTGTCAACGTTTGGAGGAAGCAGAGCACTGATTAGTCTCTAGACTGCAACGAAGGTGAGCGCAATAGCAGACGGTTGTGATGAGTTTGGCTGGTGCCTAATCCTGGGATTTTCTAATCAAGACCAGCGCGAGAGCAGGCACTCGGTATGCTCAGGTACTTGTAAGTAGGTACCTTAAGTTGAGAAGTTGACAACTTAGAGTCAAATTTTGATTGGCATTAGTGGATAGCAAGCTGCTCAAGAGTTTAGATCATTTGATGAGACTAATGAACTGAAATAAACAACTCTGCCTCATCGGCGATGAGATTATGACTGGACGTTGTTGACAGCCTCGAGACCGGCGTGTCCGCGAAGCCCCGGCTGAGATCATCGGACCAAGCAGTCTCTTGAGTTTCAAATTTCCTAAGAAACTTGCTATACCGCAAGAAAGACCTTCCGCTTCTCGGGTAAAATGGCTGAGTCTGGGGTACATAAAGACTCGATTGTCCGGCGTTCTTCTGCCATCAACTCATCATCACTTTGTACTCAACCACTACTAATCTATTTTGATCCCATCTCCATCGAATCAGCTCAAATCGCCAATATGAAGTTCACTGCCTCCACCATCATCGTCGCCGCTCTCGGTGCCTTCTTCGCGCCTGGCGTCGCCGCGGACCCTCACTACGAGTGCTCCTGCAGCACCTGGAACGGTCGCGGCTGGACCTACGACTGGCAGCTCACCTTCAACGCCTGCAAGAATAACTATGAGGGCGAGGTACGTAACTTTCGGAACAGGATGTTTCAAGATGAAGGCTAGTGCTGACTGACACGATCACAGGCCAACTACAACCACGGTCAGGGCAGAGTAAGTCCATTCACCCCTGTGACAACTGCGAGGTCTAATGCTAACATTTCTCGACTAAAGTGCAAGTGGTTCTCCCACAAGCGCGTCGATGGCGATGACTGGAACCATGTTTGCGAGGCGCAGGCTCGTGATGGATACTACCCCGTGGCCAACGATGTCATTGACTCTACACAGACTAAGATTACTGGAAAGTCTGGCCACGGATTCTGCAAGCGATAGGGCTTTATAGAGGACTTTGATAACTCTCTAAATGGACCGCAACTGAAGATAGACTTTGAAGGGAAATTTGCAGGCGGAAGAAAGTGTACTAAGTGGGACTTGAAATGTCGATGCGAGTAATAATTACCTGATTAACAGATATTCACGTTAAGACCAGAGTCTCCACCAATTCCTTGGAGACCTGAAAACTTCACTTTCCGCAGGCCGTGGAACAAATCTTAGTTACCCCAAAAATTGCATTGTCTACCGTTGGGGTATTTTATGCGCGAAACTCAACCATGAAGACCGCTCCTGCCGTTATCCGAGCGGTTTGTCATCGTTGCCAACTAGAAGCAACCAAACATTGAGAGACCGACGTCATGACTCAGTCCAGTTACTAAAGTCTCATTGAGCGAAGCTTAATGAAGTTCAATCAGATCATGTTCTCCATTGAAGAAGCAAGATAAAGTCAGGTATCTTGGATACGGAGGGCTGAACCCATATCAAGGTACTCCGTACTCAGCTTCGTTCGCCCCACGGTTTATCATGAAAGTCTCCGGTCATCTCGGAACTGTTGACTGAACAGATCGACACGGATAATGCTGAGCCACAAATCTGTTTCTTTCAGAATTGAACACCGAGTGAATTGGCTTTGCCCTATCGAAAGCTTGTAGTATTAACTGACAGTAGACTTTCCAAATGATGTGGATGAAAAGCCCGCTGAATTGCCAGCTAGAAGGCTTATTTGCGTTTTGCAATTCTCTCTGGGCCGATAAAAGTCTCTGGAGCTCTCGACGTTGGGATGGTTGAGCACCAGGTCTCAACTACATCCCTTCCCCTTCAACCTTCACATCTCCTCACTCAAACAACCATCATGAAGTTCCTCGCAGCACTGATTCTTGCTACGGCCGTCTCGGCACTGGTAGTCCCTCCTGTTGAGCAGTCCCACGACGCCCATGGGGATGCCGAAGGTTCCCTTGAGCTCATCGGCTCAGAGATCAAGTCTCCCGAGACCATCAAGTAAGTAAGCCATGGAGCTCTGCCCCTCAAGCCGTGTGCCTGACCGTTTGATCGTATTGCCAGATCTGGCGACGAACTGTCCGCTTCCTCCGTGGCCCTCGAGAAGCGCATAGATGGCATCCCCATCCCCCACGGCGTTGCCTCCGCCAAGTCCATTCTCCTCGTGGGAGTAACTGTATCTTTCCACATGGTTGGAGGCTGGGTCCGTCAGGGTAGTCGCAATGTGTGGACCTACACCTGTAAGGGCATCGTCTTGACCAACAACAATGACAGGAAGGCGGTCAGCATTTTTAGCGCCGGGATCAAGTACTTGACCAACTACATCATGTCGGAGGGCAGAGTCTGGACTGTGAATGCCCCGGCGGAGGGGTTCGCGGACACGGTTAGCATCAACATTGGAAAAGCTTAGATCGACATGCCGTCAATGTTAGGGAGTGGATATATTGGGTAGAATAGAGCAACTTTAGCTTCTTGGCCAATCGGAATTCAATACTTGTCCATGTACAATGCCATCTTTTGAAGTTTGAACAAAGCATCTGTACTTGCTGAACTGTGAAAGTGAACTATGAATGGATCAAATGTGTTGCCAGAAATCTGCTCAATGAAATATTGGGTTCCCTCCACAGCGCCAGTCACCTGGACTAGAACCATGTTCCAGACTACCCAACTGATTTGAGCATATACACCACCTTGGTGTGTTCTCAGTCATCTGCGAAAAGTGCACGGCTTAGGCTACCGGCGAATTACATTGACCACACAGAGGAACCCAGAATCAAAGGTCTCAATCCATTAGGTAGTCCCCACAGGGCCCTCGATTGGGGTTCCGGGAAGCCAGTGAGTCAATCCTGCTACAGGCTAACCGGTTCACTCTTGTAAGGAGTCCGAAGCTCTCAACAACTAAGACGAATACTTTATATTAATCAGACCAACCTCGCTCCTCTCTCTGGTCAAGTCAGCCAATGACCTGCAACGAAGGAAATTCTACCAATTTCTGACGGATTTCTCGGAAGGAAACCCTCGCCACAAAAAGGCCTTCCTCATGGTGCGGCGTGCTTGATTGCTCATAAAACTGACTCGAGGCCGTTACAGAATCCAAACTTCCATGTTAACTCAAGTTTAGAGTTCAGTCTAGCCAGCCTACTGGGCCCCAAAACTGGGCCTCAGCCCCTAGATTCGACAACATCAGGAAGTAGTTTCCACTGGGCAATGATTCGTATGCTCACGGCACTCGTTTGGCTCCCCGTTCATAATGGTGTAAACGCCATGCACATGATACATCAAGCCACACTTGGCGCGTCGTTCATTTCAGCCAGTGATGGGCACTGCAGATCTGTGACCACGATACTGGGTCGTTTCCAGATGATCGGTCTCCTCAGGTTCTATTCTGGGATGAAACTCCACGTGCACCCGCCTCCCGCCCGAGTATTCACAAATGTCGGGGAGATTAATACTGGGCACGTATGGTGCCGACGGGGAGAATACGACCGTCGGACCCGCGACGCAGATCTTTACAAAAGGCAGACATACTTTCGCTTTCTCCCAGTTCATCAAACCTTCTCATCCAAAAACTCTCTTCTTCGCCATTTTGCGGTGTGGATTCTGCCTGGATTCCGGTACATCCTATTAAGCTTGTTTTTAACTTCAAGCTATTGGAACCGATCACAATGAAGTTCGCACTCGCCGCATCTTTGTTCGCTGCTATTGTCGTCATGCCGGTCACGGCCGGAGAGTGCGGCACGTTCGGGACCGACTTCGGGGCTTGTCTGAACTGGTGCTCTGATACCAACCCTGGTGCCGAACGATACATCATCGATGGATGCTACCGGGCTGTTTGCTCCAGCTGCAGGCCTGCGAAGGAACGATGCAAGTTGATCCGCCCGAGCACCGCGATCTGTGACGATTTGACTGACGTGTGATGCATAAAGCACTTGAGGCACGAGTTTTCCAGGCATGAGAATGTCCAAGAAGCATCCAATAACCTCGACATGATCTCTTCCTACCCGGCCGGCCGCTACGACTTCTCAACACTACTAGGAATCCAGGTGCGACGTTACGAATAGTTCTCTTCCTGCCACCTTAACCCCCCGACTTCCCCGGACTCCAGCTCTGTTGATATTGACACAACGATTGGTCCCGTCGCTAGACGACTCAAGGTCACTTTTGGCCTTCCTCAAATACCCGATAGAAAAATATCACAAATTGTTTTACCGCGTTAAATCCGGTGCTGCATTTATTTCATGGTCTAAACTCTTACGACTGATTCCGCTGTTGCCCAGGTATCATGTATTCCGAATTCCTCAATGCTTAACCATTTACTCCTCCTGAGTTGATGGGTAATATCCTCTTTCCTTCATGCCAGGTTCACGACTTTCCACCAATGGCCGGCGCTCCCTCCTCGCCGCCCACAACCTTCTCATAAGCTGGTGCCGCCTCGCTAGGCTCATCATAACCCGGAACCTCTTCGGCAGGCGGCGGTTGCACATTCGACGATGAATCAACCGCAGATGCCCTCGTCCTCCCACACGCCGTATCCTCATCTGGCGCTAGAACAAGCAACTTCTGATTTCCCTCACACTTCCAGGTCTCCCCCGCCACCGACAACTTCACCTCCCAGTGTAATACGTGCTCAATCTTTACGCAATATGTCACAAATGTTGGTAGGACCGTCTGCCCAAACGAACCTGCACCATTCCTCTGGCCGAGGAGTAGCCGTCCCAGTGCGTCAACTCGTAGATCCAGGACGGCGCCGAGGTCTAGTGGGACTTCCTTTGGACCCGATGGAACGACAATTTTGCTGTCTGGGGCTTGGAAAAGATGCTTTAGACGCGCTAGGCAGAGTTTCCTCGTCTTGCTAGCGTCGTGGGGGTCGAGTGTTCCCGGGCAAATGATGCCTGTCGTCGTCTGTAGCTCCAGCTCCATCTGCTCTATCGTCACCGTCTGCTGTACGTCCTCGATGATATCCGACGTGCGGTCTCTGGACGGTGTGAGATGAAGCAGGAACGGGATGGTCGACTCGTTGCCCAGCTGAATCACTGTTGGATACTGCACATCGAGGGTGTAGTGGAAGGTAGGAACTTTGGATGAGCCAAAGAACTTTTGCGTCTTTTGCTTGAAAGACAGCTCCGCGTCCGTCATCCCTGGGAGTAACCGCTGACTGCTCACACACCCAGTCTTGTTACGCCTATCCAGCCTGAAGTCGCTGATCATTGGAGACGGCACGGGAGGCGAGAAGACCCTGACAGGCATCGCCGCCTTCAGGACGGAACTCTTTCCTTGCACCGTCAACTCGGCCTCAATCCAATACTCCACAAAGCCGTGCCAGCTCTTGTTGAAACCGGATCCGTCGAAATAAAAGGTCCCCGGTAACGGCTGTTCAGGCAGCCCTGCGCCGACGTGGGTCCCAAATCCGGGACGCAAGAAGCATGCCTCCTTGGCACTATCCCCACCACAGGCATTCACGGCACGAGCATCCGTACGCGTCGGTAGCGCGAGGGCAAAAGGCCAGGATACAGGCTGCCCTTCGGCTCCGGGCGCGACGTGGACCGGCCCGTGGTGGACTACATCGGTGATGGCGCCCTCGTGCCAGAAGTTGAAGCGGGAGCGGTAGTAGCTCTTCTGATTATTGCCGCGGGAGATGACGAGTTTCGCTTTCGCGCGCCCGAGGAGACGGACGCGGACTGTGGCGTTGGCAGCGACGATGTGCGATTTGCGGACAATGTGGCCGAGGATGACGCTGCCTCCGTGGAGGGGCGTGTCTGGGTGAAGGAGCTGTATCGAGAGATCGATATTGTTCTTCCTTTCCGTGGGAGGCATGTTTATTCGATGACTGTATCTCGAGCCACAAGGGTTTAGATCATCGATGGATTAAAGAGAAAGTTCAATGGCTTATGGAATTGCGAACGTCGTCGTGTTTAAACATGTCATGAATTGCAGCACAGTAAGCACTTAAGGACGGAGGTAGCGCTAGGCAACGACAACATGGTTGGTGCAGTGGCGCAGGTAGCGCTAAACATGCAGGGAGCTGTGGCTGTGTAACATCACTCAATGAGTTGTTGAAAGTCCACCGGCTCAGCTCATACATGATACGTCTGTTCATCTTATTTCATGGAGATGTCATTCCATCTTATAGATAGCTCATCTCATCTCATTCTTGTTCGGTTCTGTTTAGCCGCGCCATGTGGATCATGGTCCCGGCTCCATACATCGCGCGCCGCCACCCACGCAGTTGATACTCATACGACCTGCCCGGGCTTCGTTTATCGGTATCCCACTTATACAGACGACGCACCGTGCCTTTTAGCAGAGATTCTGCGTCTATCAGACACAAGTGATCTATTGTCACCCGGATGGAGATCTGAGATGCTCATTCCAGCCCTCTGGGAAAGGCTGAACCTCTGCAAAGTGACTTATGAATGCCAACTTCTCACGATCTCAATGTCTGTCCTCTACCTTGATTGCTTATCACCTGAGTATAAGCGTGCAATCAGGATAGTAAATATACTTGCCGTCACTTATATTACTGGACATAGATATCCAATGGCAGGAGCCTTCTAGGTAGACATGCTAAGGTAGTTCTCAACAGTGCCAGTACACACAGGCCCAGTTCGGAACCCATAATAAGAACTTACACTTGGTGTCTTACAAGCTACTCGCAGACTCATTAAAGGAGTAATTCATGAGTAAAGTAATGTAAATACGACTATCTCTCTAAGACTAATTGACTGTGTGCTACTATCTGTCAAACGCCGTGCTTGCCGGTAAAAGTTCCGAAGGCCGCCAGACCCCTTGATCTATCAATTGCTGGTCAACATCTCATTGTGTCTTGGAGAGTGTTGTTAAGAACTTGAACCAAAGCTCCGAAGGGAATATGAGGAGCATATAGCCTGAAGACAATACGGAAACCTAACAAATCTTCAGATATGTACTTCGCTATGATGGTAACTGTCCCATTCAGGGCTATGAATGTTGAACTATGTAATTTCCGTACTTATATAGTCCTTTGAGTGAGTCTTGACAAACTCTCTGCCTCCACGAACAATTTAATGGAAGGATTTTAGGAAAACAAATAAAATGCGTTCGGTTCGCAAAGAAGTTCCCTATCGTTTCCATGGATATCCAAGTACGTGTGTTTACATTTGGCGACAGCTAGCACCTGTTGGGATATGGCAGGGAGGTCAAGTCACTGATGTCGCTAGCACGAAGCTTGCAGGCGAGTGAAGATTTAATTAGTGGTTATATATGGCCAATGGATCTCCATAAACCTGTAGTAGGCCGATAATAGCTCTATCCAAGGCCTCGGGAGAGAAACGTGGCATGATGGCGGGTGCTGAACAGTTGAAACAGAACGTCACGTTGCTATTGCTGCCAAGCAAGCAGCACAACTATTGCGCCGGGGGCTGAGCTGGTCCTGAGAAATTCAAAATACACGTATGTGTCATAATAGGACAATGCATGCAGAAACCTGTTATATTCGATATGACATGCATTCTGGTGTCTACAGGTATGATCAAATTGAGAAGTCTCTCAGGATCATCTTCAGGCCTGCTGCCCTATGTCCTAAGGTACCAAACACATCTTTCGCGACCATCCGTCTAGCTCAAAAACTGGATGTAGTAAAAAAAAACCCCTTTCACACTCTCTTCGTCGCTGTCCAGAATTGCGTGACTGATTTCTCAGTTAGACATCAATCTCATCTCCAGCACGAATACAATGGATACTTACCATACGTAAACTTGAGCAACGATTCTGGCTGTTGGGCGTAAAGGCTGTCAATACTCTTCCGCGACGAAAGGTCTACGTCGAATCCAATCACATCCGCTAGATGAAGCACTTCCTCGGCCGAGAGTTGAAGAGCGGTGTGGGTGCCATATTTAAGCGCTAGATGTACGTAGTCTTACGTTAACTCTACCTCACTGATTAAATTACAAGAAAGGTCCCAAGGTCCAGTCAAGTTGTAAGTAAAAGAGGGTTAATGGGGAAGTCTTACGTCCAAGGTTAATCCAAGTACCACCAGGCTTCAGTAGCCGGTGGATGTTGCTCAGGAAGTCAATTATGTTGTTTCCAATGTCGATGAAGAATAATGTGACAACGGCGTCGAACTGACCGTCCTCGGGGAACATCTCCAAGAAGTCGCCCTCGACAAATTTGACAGCCTTGTTTGGCATGTGATCTGGCACCGTCAGGGCCGTATAGCGCGAGGAGGGGTTGGACTGATGAGTCCACTTGGTCACAAAGGGATGAATAGTATGCTGGTGGAGCGAGGTCGTATGATTTGTAAGAAGGTGATGAGCCAAGATTGAGCTGAAGTCTAGGTCGTTGGCCGTCACATCATACCCTGCGTCAACGTGTAAGCACTTGATACCACGCTCTCGATTCATCCGTGAAGAATGTACATACCGACATCAGCAATATCGCTCGCCAGTCTACCCATACCGCATCCGGGGACAAGAACCCTCTTCCCCTTTCTATTTTCGCCAAAATGTTGCTCAAGCCCAGCCAAGACGGGTGGAAAAGTAGCCAGCCTCTCCGTGACACCATGTGAGCTCCAGTCTCGTGAAAGATGCCCAAAAGTCAGGTCCACAAGACCAAAATCGGCATCGTCTTCGTGCGTCAGCGCTCCTGGGCCGGTTTGATAGTGCTTCCTCGAAATCTGTGCAATCTGCTCTGAGAGACGGGCGTTCACGTTAATTCCTTCGGTGGCTTTCTCAAAGTGCTCAGGATACCCGAGCTTGTTGCTCATCAACTTCTGTGAGGGCGTCTGCCGGTCGTACCGCGCATATTTCCGGTGTAACACTCCCTGGGCGAGAGACGAATACTGCTCGAAGGAGTTGATGGCGTGCGCCAGGTCTTCAGGGAGCTTCTTCTCTCCTTCAGATGCGCGAACGACCTTGGTGGGCCTCGCAGAAGCTCCGACGGGTGGTTTGGAAATGGATGGTGGAGAAATGTCTAGGGGGGCGTTGAGCGCAACGTGAAGGGCTTCAGCGCGTAAGGAGAGCTTAGAGAGAAAAAGTGCAACGTCAGACAACGAGCCAGACCCACGGAGGGCGAGGTAGAAGGGAAAGATGATGCAGAGTAAGAGAGCAAGGGAGCGGGAGGGGAAGATTGATGAATACAACATTGTGCTTGTAGCTTCGATAAATGTTTGTGCCAGGAGAGTTGATTTTTCGTGCTAGACGCAGCCCTGTCGGAAGCAGGAAGAGCTTCACGAGTGGATGAACGGCGTGATAAGTGGAAAAGCCCCTAGCCTTGAATCTCTGCGCCAGCTGCTTTCCGTTTTAAGGGCCAGATATTCTACATCCAGCCTCGAATATCAGAAGTCGCCGCAGGTACCAGAAGGCAACGGCTGCGCCCGCCGTCCGCGCCGTCCGGTCCCAAGCGATGGGGCCTACCGTCTGAGTATTGTCTGAATCGGAAATAGTGGATTATCACGATTCACGATCACACGGATGCTAACCAGGATCATCTCTGTTCTTGTTTAAAGTTCTGCCAGGGGGGGGCGTGTGTCCCACTTTACTTGAGGTAACCTTCGGCTAGTGAGACAGGATGAATCCCTCCAGCACTATCAGCCTTACCGCGGCCTGCCGACGAGTCAACGACTAGGGAAAGCCGCCTGGAATGAGAAGGTGTCTAAGATGGCAGGCCACGTCAGACTCTCTACCGAGCCGAATCTCTTGGACCGCAGCAACATAACTGTTACCTTGGAACGAAGAGGCCTTGACACTTGAATATGAGCGCGTTATGAGGTTGCTATTGAATAAGACTGTGACTATGAACTCACAGGCTCTCCGTCTTGCCGCAGCGAAACCCTTCAATATGATGGCGGTCGAGATTGAGGTTAGCTGCTAGACGGTGGAATGGCTGTATAAATATATAGGATACTCTCTCATTGGCCGAAACCGTGTTAAAGTGGGACGCATCCCGCAATCAATATGGCCAAAGTCCTTATTTAACCCTGTAACTACCATCTGCTCTCCGTGGATGCTTTTGCTTCTTCCTCAGGAAATCGAATTCATACTCATGTTACAGCCATGGGTCGTCCCGTTTTGTTTCTCTGTGTACTTGCCGTTCTCTCAGTCCTTCCCAGCCACGCGCAAGCAACAAAATGCGGCAAGCTGTGGACACGCAAAGAATGGCGAACGTTGACGCAGGGTGAGAAAACTGACTGGGTGGGGGCTGTCAAGTGCTTGGGAAGAATAAGGCATCAAAGACTATCCTTCACTCCAGAACAGAAGGTTCTTGAGGGGTTGAGAAGTCTATACGATGACTTCTCCTACTCACACGCAGCAGTAGAGCATAGCGCTCATAGGAATGTCTACTTTTTGCCGTGGCGTATGTCCCTCTCCTTTTTCCCTTCCCCAAACACACATCCGATACTCACACGAGCGCAGACCGCTGGTTCCTCTACCTATTCGACACGTCCCTCCGCCAAAACTGCGGGTACAGTGGTCCAACACCATACTGGGACTGGTCTCGCGATCACGCCGACCTCGTCGGCTCTTCCGTGTTTGAAGATTCACCCGAATCTGGGCTTGGCGGGACTGGGGACTGTAACTCTTCCCCCGAGGCCGATTGCGTGGTCACCACAGGTGCTTTTGCCCAGTTCGAGCTCGCCTGGCCGATTCCGCACCAACTTCGCAGAAACTTGACGCTCATCACTGGATGGTTTGAACACGAGCGGCCCCAGAACTCCACACTTGGCCCAGACTCCGTGCGGAACTCAACTGAGCATCACACGGGCGACTTTTACAGTTTCCAGCACTCAATGGAACAGATGCATAATCATATCCACAACTTTGTTGGCGGCGACTTGGCGGGAGACTGCCCAAAGAGATTGCCAGCGGATGATTGCAAGGACCTAGCCGTCGCCTTCACGCCGAATGACCCTCTATTCTGGTTGCATCATGCGCAGCTTGACCGATTATGGAGCAAGGTGCGCGCCCCTCCCAAACCTTACTTAACTCAACTGTCACATCAAATTTACTAATGTGTATTGATGAGTTCTGCAGTGGCAACGTCGACACCCCGCCAATTTGGCCGCTTTCTCCGGCATACCCTTACACTCGTTTAATATGAGCGACCCACAGTACGACCTTAACGCAAGCGCATATTATGAGATGCCATTTGACGTTCAGAGTGTACCAGTGATGCCGATGAAGGTTTTTGATACGGAGGCTGAGCCGCTATGTTACCAGTATGTAGATGAGGAGTGACATTTCCAGGGCTGGAATAATAAACGCCGCATGTTGGTTGCACAATCTGAACTAGTAAACCTCGGGTCGCGTTCGCTTTGTCTTCATATTAGAGTTTAGCTCTGCCTTACCTGTCTGTGCGCACTCACTTACACGAAGCGCAGAGGACGAAGAACGAGACTGGATAAATGGGACGGATGATTGAAGCGCAAGTGTTGGTTTGAAAGACTTGGTGAAGTTGATTTGGCATCTATGGAAGGCGCCGAAGTCTAAAATTCAAACCGGACTCTCTAAAGACTAGACTCATTGATTCTCTCAAACATTTCTGGTGTCCATTTTCCGTGTTGTTCCGCCATCCAATCGTGTACCTGTCTCCAATCCCGACAGGTGTGTACAGCTCCTTCACCTGCAGCGACTTTGTCGCCATTGGCCAGTTTCTTGTTTGTACCGCCAGGTTCGATAGTCGTGTCAGCGGCGCAGAGAATGCCCTGCCGCAAGTAGTGGAAGCAGTGCTCTGTATGGTCAGACCCGTCGTCTCCATTAACAAGCACGGCACGAATGTGGCTTAAGCAGTGCATCTGATGCCACATTGACACGCCAAATGCGAAGTGCTCCTGACCCAGGAAGACGAAACCCTTGCCAGGGGGACGTATAGCGTTCCATTCAACCGTAGAAGCAAAGCCTTCCATCCCGTAGTGCTCAGAGTCATCTACGAAGTTGGCTTGAATGGTACGGACCTTGATAGGAAGCTCATGAGGCCGGTCACCTTCGAGATAGGCTATTGTGTGTTAGCTATGAAGGCTGAGAAAGAAAGTGGCATGAGAAAACTAGACACACTGTATGACTGTGATCCGCGGGTCAAGACGCGAAAGGAGAAGAAGAGAGCGCCCAAGTTCAAGACGAGGCATACGCAGAGCGCTACGAACAGCCCGAGTGAGGGGCCTAGTAACTGAGACTTCAAAGACTTGAAAGACATGGTCGCGTGCTGGCAGGGTAGTGCGTTGAGGGTTCGCAAAGGAAGAACATGATCGTTTTGATCAACGGCGCCGAGAGTGGGCGAGCAGTGTTTAACACATTTGTGGCCGTATCCGCACTCACTCGAGTAGGCGAGTCGCAACGATACCACGGGGCGGTGCAGGAGGATTTGCAACTTCGCAAGTGTCAAGATGCTCTACTCGTAAGAGTCAGTCGTCCAAGGGTTGCATCGACCATGTGGAGAGCCCTGGTATGCAGGCAGGGGCCGCATGACAACTTGGGGTTCCACAAAAGCTGTTCGATATACGACGACAGTAAGTTTCAGCATCTAGATGAACATCTAGATGAACTTCGGAATCTCCGTTGCTGCGTTGACGAAGAAAAGGACCGCAGGGCCGTTTGAGGTTCCACAAGATCTGCTCGCTCGACTTGCGATGAAAGTAAGTTTCCCCGTCTAGATGAACCTCGGGATTCAGGATCCCAGCTGCGGAAGGAAGGGACCGCAGGTATGGAACAGGTTGCGTGCTCCACACAAAGTGATGTGACCGCTCGATATGCGACGAAAGTAAAGTTTCGATAGCCAGATGAATCATGAACGCCCGCAGGTCAATTTGCGCGCCAGCCTTAGGGCTCAACCGAATAAGCTGAATGAGGCTTGGATAAGGCTTGCCCGACGGAACGGACATCGAGATATCATGACTCCGTCCGACGGCGCGTCACGCCCGGCGTGCCATCTACACGCCCCCAGCCCTGCTGTTAGAGATATCCACCAGCTTCGTATACCCGGCGTAAAGGCGATAGCTAGTCACGATCTTTACCTAGAACCTCATCGTCGAATCCACCTGAGAAAGTTTGCAAGGCATGTCAGAGACTCGGCACGAATGTCTGAAGACCCACGACTTGAGAATTATCGCGAAGGCAACGCCGGCGCAACAACGCACAAGCACGCTTCAGATCGTGGTGATTCGTGGCCGTACGGAGAGATTGTTGAACGGATATCCCTCCCATGAGCTTCGTCTCTTGAGGCTCGAAATTCCATAAATACCCAAGGAAATAACCACTGTCGAAAGAAAGAATCCACAACAACATCTCACTTCACAGCAATCATCTGACTATCTTTCAACATCTTCAACATCTTCTTCAACACCTCTTTTATTTCACACCATCAACTTTTCAACCAATCTTTCAAAATGCAGATCACCAGTGTCATGCTCAGCCTTGCCAGTCTCGGCCTGAACGTTCTCCCTGTTCAGGCCGGACCCATCCCCGGCGCTGAAGCCGCTCTGGCGGCTCGCCACGTCTACTCTCCTGACGTTGACGAGGCCCCCGTTGCCAAGCGCCACGTCTACTCTGTCGACAAGGACGAGACCGTTGAGAAGCGCCATGTCTACTCCCCTGACGTAGATGAAGCTCCCGTCGCTAAGCGTCACGTCTACTCCCCTGACGTGGATGAGACCCTTAACAAGCGCCACGTCTACTCCCCTGATGTCGACGAGACCCTGAACAAGCGTCACGTCTACTCTCCGGACGTCGACGAGACCATTGCTAAGCGCCACGTTTACTCTGTCGACAAGGACGAGACCGTTGAGAAGCGCCACGTCTACTCTCCTGATGTTGACGAGACCATCGCTAAGCGTCACGTCTACTCTCCGGACGTCGACGAGACCATTGCTAAGCGTCACGTCTACTCTCCGGATGTGGATGAGACCATCGCTAAGCGTCACGTCTACTCCCCTGATGTCGACGAGGCTCCCGTTGCTAAGCGTCATGTCTACTCTGTCGATAAAGACGAGGTTGAGAAGCGTCACGTCTACTCCCCTGACGTCGACGAGACCATTGCTAAGCGCCACGTCTACTCCGTCGATAAGGATGAGGTCGAGAAGCGTCATGTCTACTCTCCTGATGTTGACGAGACCCTCAACAAGCGCCACGTCTACTCCCCTGACGTCGATGAGGCCCCAGTTGCCAAGCGTCACGTCTACTCCGTTGACAAGGACGAGGTCGAGAAGCGTCACGTCTACTCCCCTGATGTTGATGAGGCCCCCGTCGCTAAGCGTCACGTCTACTCCGTTGACAAGGACGAGGTCGAGAAGCGTCACGTCTACTCCCCTGATGTTGATGAGGCCCCCGTCGCTAAGCGCCACGTCTACTCCGTTGACAAGGATGAAGTCGAGAAGCGCCACGTCTACTCCCCCGACGTCGATGAGGCCCCCGTTGCCAAGCGCCACGTCTACTCCGTTGACAAGGATGAAGTCGAGAAGCGCCACGTCTACTCCCCCGACGTCGATGAGACCTCTTCATAAATTCAAAAATGGTCAAAGCGAGTCAGGAAAATTCACTGCAGCGACGGGTTTGGGGCGAAGTCGTTTTGGGCGGTATAGATCCCATGGCTGGCTTGCGAGAAGGGGAGATGTAGTGGGGTGTCTCAGCACTTTTGCGAACTTCCAGTGATCAAATGCGTAGCTAGGTTTGTTTAGTTAGAGGCGTCCTTCTTCAATTACAATAGAAGTTTCTTTCCAATATGGTCTTTATTTCGGCAAACGCCCCTAAATTAAGCGTATCCCCACGGAACCTCCATGCCGGTAAGCAAATCACCAAACTTCGTAGCTTGTCTTGTAATCTACTGTCTTAGCGCTAGTTACACAAGATTAAGTAATATACAAAAACTCAAAAAGAGCTAATCAGTGTGTCAGGGCGCATCTGGCTAAGTAATCGTTTCCGCGCGCACGTTTGGTTTGTCGACGCGACGAGTCTCCGCCAGATAGCCTTTCCCCTACCCCTTGAAATGTCAATGGTCGTACAAATAGGTACATCTAATGTAAGGTTTACTATCCTAGTCTGCGGAGAACTTACAAAGCCCGATGGAGTCTTCGCGACCAAGGCCCGATCGGTCGCTGTCCTCCCCGATGATGTTTGCGAGTACGAGGAAACTGCTCGCTCTTGCGCTTCCCTTGCTCTGGAGCTGCCTTGATAGCCTTGCCAAGACTAGCGACTTGACTGAAAGCTGCAGTGATCTTCGGCGAAGTACCTATCTCTATACACGTTGCATGTAAGACTTATTCCTACAATTTATCTTGGTTATGTCTTATGCAGAAGGAGAAAACCTTAAATCTATCTTATGCAATCACATTGAGCATGTACACAAGAGCATTGACGGCAGACGGTTGATTTAGATAAGCTACAGAACCAGACAACTCAACACCAATCATGTTCCCTACATGCCCAAAGCCGTATAGCGCCTTCGCATTGATCTATTGTATTCTACCCAGGTTAGGAAACGGTTGTAGAAAAGTAGGTCCAGAGACCGCAACTATATGAACTAAGGCTCCTCGGCCCAATCTACAGGTACTCATCCGGCATTGGAATAAGTGTCTCGTTCCCAGCTGCACACATGGCCGGATGCTCCTCAGGAAGAGCCTCTGTGTCAGCCATCTTAACATCAGTGCACTATGGGTCACATCAGTCTTAGTCTAGCTACGTGTGGCATCTCAGCTGGGGCAACTCACAAAATATTTAATATTGCCTGTCGCCGGATCTTTGGCCTCAAAATACATGACTCCCATCTCATTGACTTTGGTCTCAAATGGTATCGTGACATTGACGCACACCTGTCCTGAAGGCTGGATTGGCAAGTCCTGCAGGATGACATGGGGGAAGTCGTCCCTCTTCTTCGGCACTCTGTTCCGGGTGTAAAGAGCCGTGACAAGGTCTCCAGGATGGCCAGAGAAGGAAAGGAATGTGCGGGAGCTGCGGGCGTAGGCTTGGGGGTTGTGCACGATCTCCCCTTTTGCTATGTGTTAGACCATACTCGTGCCCGGGAGTCTGAGCAGGAGACTAAAGGGTCAACTTACGGCAAAAAGGGTGGAACTCATCTAACTCTGCCCGGGAGGGGAGGTTGGCACCGCGGGACGACCATGGGTACTGGACGTGAAAGCCAGCGTGGGCCGGGGCGGCGGCGGATGTGAGGTCAATACCGGTGCCGAGGGCAAGCAAAAAGCTGAGTATGGCAGGAATTTTGGGCATGATGGATGGTTGTCAAGTGCTGGATCGGCGTAGGTTCCACGTTATACGCGGCCATCTGCGGCAGAGAGAGAGAGCTACATGATATAGCTCGTGCCAAGACACATGACAGTCCAACTCTCAACTGAATTGAGGATACTGAAAGTGGCCGACACGGTCATCCCGGAATGTCAGATAAATTGCGTACACTTTGCTTGTCGAGTCAAGTTCTGGTGAAAGTTTGAAACTACAGACGCGTTGCAGTCCCACTGCATCATTATTTCTAGGTACTCCTCAATGGCTAGACTGCGCCACACGGTAGTTCCGCGTCTTGAAGCTTTATTCCAACTCATCATCCGTCCTCGTCTGACTTCCTCTGACCTCCTCTAGACACTTCTGACCTCTTTTCATCCACTATTTCTATTTACTCACCTCTCAAATCATCTCCTTTTGTTTCTGTCTTCCGCCCGCTTCCTGTACCTACCTCTCGCGATGTTTTCCAAATCAAAGATGAGCAATTCCCAATATACGCCTCTCTCGCGACCAGGCGGTGGCGAGGGTTCCAGCCCTAGCACATCTCTGGAGAAGCGCTCCTCCTCCGAGGATGATGACGATCACCCCTTGCTGGAATGTTCGGAGAACCTCCCCGGTCTCCAAGCATCCAAACAGTGGCAGCTTCCCAAGCTCATCCTCTTCTTTTCCTTCGCTCTCGCGCTGCTATCATGTGCGAACATCGCACTATTCCCCGCGACACTGTCAAACTACGCAGCTTACCCCTATACCGACGCTGAGCTCAATGCCCTACCCTACGGCGACGCCAGGTTGGGGCTGGACAGAGCAGCAAAGATTCTTCGCCCGCCGAGAGAGTATCTCCGCGCCTGGCCAGACAAGGTTGTGCGAGTGAGCCGCAAGTTGAAGAACTCGGTGTGGGGAAATGGGCCGCAGGTCTATGTGACAGTCGAGGTACGCGCGCATTTCCTTGCTTTATCGTTCTTACTCTCGCCCGTTCGAACAAGAGAACTGACATGAGAAAAAAAGGACTCAACAATTATGCGTTTCCCGGTTCCTACCGCCGGCATCAACGCCTGCGCAATTTCCTGGCACGCGCCTCCGGAGAACTCCACGCGCATCAAGGACCTGACCACTAAGGGTGACGTTTCCGAAATTGAAGTATGGCAGCTCATCGCGCCCTCGGCCACTTCGCAGCCCGGCTCTTCCACGGACATGGGCGAGCTCGACTACGACACGGTGTCGTACTCCGCTCTCCCTGTGCGTGGCGAGCTGCTCGGCGTGCTGGACCTCACTGTTGGTATTCCTATCACAGGGATGGTTCGAACCGTGGGTGATAAAGAGGTCAAAATCTATATATATTTAACTTCTGCGTAAGGTGTAAAAAGGAGGTTCTAACTGGAGGTTAGGTAGACCGTAGATCTTGTAAGTATGGTCTATAAGTGGCCCCTGTGCGGGCCCCTTGCTTTGAGGTTAAATTGGACTTCTAATCCGATACTAACTATTTCTTTTTTTTATTGCTTAATTATGGCGGTTAGAAGTATAATTTGATCTCGGGCTCCTTTGCCGAGGCTGCCCCCTTTTCCTCCTTCTTTTACTCTTTGTGGGTTATCTATCCTTTTATCCGTATTATTACCCTTCCTTTACCGACGAAGTATTCGAGCCCTTTGTTGGGCGTTATTTTTATAAAAGTATCTGCTAGATTATCGTCCTTATTGATTTAATAGATCTCGAGGATCTTATAGCGCTTATATGATTACCGGAAGGCTATAATATCTATTATTAACCTCTTCTCCTTTATAGTACCTAGTTTAACGAGGTACTTATATAGTAAATATGAATTAGTATAGACGATTATCGGTATTGTAGGGATATTAAGTTGATTAGTAATCCTCTTTAGCGTTATTAAGATTATATATACGATATTGACGCCGTTAACTATGCCGTAGACCTTTAAGGTGAGTATACTTTATATGACCTTTTTACTCTTTATTAACGAGTAGTGGATAATATTACTGTAGATTATGAAGTTCTCCTTTTTTATTACCTTGTTAGTAAGGATTATTATATATTTTAATTACGATATGAGGTCGTTATTATTTATAAATGAGCTATTGATGAATATATAGAGCTTTGCCTCCTTTAGGTCGATAGGTTAGTATATGAGCCCCTTATTGAGGTTTATTTATTATTATTATAGTTATTGGTTAAGGGTGTCGAAGTTGCGTTCTGTTGGCGAAGTGGCCTATGCTGCCCTTATATAGTTGAAAGTGGCCTCTGGCTGATAGATATTTGCGATATAAGCTCCTTATGCGAGCTCTATTTTGTACCGCTTTTAGTAGTCGGTTATCCTTAGGTTAATAAGGGTGATCTTCTTGCTTTGCCCTTTTTATTAGAAGATAATATTTTTGTCCTTGATTATGAGGATCTTGCTGTTGAACGTAAGTGGTATATCCTCTGTAAGGATCTCTTTTGGCTTAGTAGTAAACTTTACCTTCTCTAGCTCCTTATCCTCCTTCTCTATAAAGGCCGTATTAAAAAGCCCTAATATATTGTCGGTCTATATTCTAACGATTCTAAATAGATCGTCTATATGTACGGAAACTAAGAGGCAAGGATTATACGTCGATATAATTATTAAGAGCTTGTCGATATAGAAATCGTGGTATATTACTTATTAGTAAGTACCTAACTTTATAAGGCCGTAGAGTGGCTTTAGTACTTTGATAATTATGTTGTCTAGGTATTTACTTGCTATCTCCTTTAGTAAGTAAGCTAATATCTTCTTTATGAGCTTTGTTGCCGATTAGGTATATACTTAGGTAATATTACGACTCTAGATCTAGTATCCTCTTTACTATAATAATACTATTAATACCATCATTAATCGTTAGTAGTAGCGCTAAACTATCGGTAACTATATAAGTAGTACCGCCTTTTTAACGTCACTGTAACTTTATATTATATACCTTAATTTCTTATATAGCTAATTTATCCCCTTTCCTTTAATCTTATAGACCATTTGTAACTTAAAAATACGGAGGTTTATATACTTTTTTAGGTTATAAGTAATAAATTTATAGACCCCTCGATCGTATAGTATATTAGCTTTAATAAGGTCGGAGCCTTTATACGGTCGTCTTATAATTATAATTATCCTTTATTCCTTTAGCTTAACCGCCATTATAAAGTCTACTTTCTCCTTGGCCATATAGAAAATAGTAATAGCCTTAGTATTAGATATGAATTACTATTAAGGTGCTTTTCGGGGTCTTCCTCGGCATCTTACTTATAGTAGGGGTACTAGTTCTTCTTCTACCTCATCGTCTAAGGGTACTATAATGATAATCTCGTTAAGGATGGTTTCCTACCC